CCCCCCCCCCCCCCCCCCCCCCCCCCCCCCCCCCCCCCTTCCTCAACGGAGCAATTTTAAGTGCTAAAAATGAAGAAAACTGTACTGCTACCGCTGGAGGGCGATTATGGGCTGATCGGGGGGAGGGAGAAGGAGTGGAACTTCTGGCGTATTGGTGAACGGGGAGAGGAAAATCCTCCAAATCGCTCTTGCCCAGGAAATCGCCCTGGACCCGCCTATGACCACAATTGATAAAAGAAACTGGAAAGGTCGCTAGCTGCAGAATTTGTGAACTAGAATATGATTTATCAGCTATTTCAAGTATTTCAGGCATCAGTGATGTTACAAGTATTCCAAAGATCAATGAGAAAAAAACAGCTACCTTCTAATTAAACAGTTTCAAAAAAAAGCTACGGCAGTTCGCACTTCAGCACAACCTTTGTTAATTTCATTTTGCTAAGCAAAAACACGCAAACCTGAAGAGGCCATCCACCACCAATAACACCAGCTTGCACTGCAGCACCGGTTACAACAGCTAGCTCGGGATTTACACCGTGATTTGGCGCTTTTCTAAATAAACAAAATAACTAGGAAGTACGTTTCATCGCTCGAAAATATCTAAATTTCAAAAAAAAAAAGACAGGTGTTTATTTTAAAGCAGCGACAAGTCTTGATTCAAAATTCCAGCGCTTACCCGAAATAACTGCCAACCACAGATCGTACACGTGGAATGCGTGTGGAACCACCAACAAGAACAATCTCGTCAATATCAGATGCCGTAATTTCAGCATCATTTAACGCCGCTTCTATTGGTTCAGTAACACTTTCCAACAAATCCTCGTTCAGAGCTTCAAATTCTTCTCGCGTAAGCTAAATATTTAAAAAATTTTGGCAATCAGAAGCAATAAGGGTTTCGATCCGATTCGCAATAGAGGCCGAGAAGTCGCCTTTTGAATCATCTACCAACACTCAACACCCAAACTTCGATTCCCTAAAGAATTCTACCCATTTAAGGAGTTATAGCCCATAGAATGAAAGTACAGGAGGTGGCAAACAGCTGAGATGGAAGGAGCATGAAAGTGGTGGTAAAATGCGATAAA